GAATATGTTTGCCCAATTTTGTTTAGAGAGACAATTTTCTTGCCGCGTGGAACGCATATACAAGGCAGTGGAATTGGTAAGAACTGGGTCGATCCAATTAACCGAAACAAAGCTGTTTAATGCACGCGGAGGCAGCGGCAGCGGCCAAAGTCGTAGACGCCGCGCTGCGTGTGTTCTACACGGCTGGTGATACCGGCTGATCGATATCGCGCGTGTCACTGTGTCCCCCTCGTAAGAATACACTATCCTTCGTGGTTTGCGGCGATGCATGAGCTGAGGGCGTGGCGCCGCCGGGCGCTACATACTTAAATCCCCGGGAAAAATCGCTCAGAGGGAACGATTAATAAAAAACGAAACCGTTCCACGGCTCCTCTTTTCGATCAGCCAAATCCATCGGCTTGAAAAACAGATTCCGTATTCCCGCGGACGTGAATTTTTCTACTCGCGTTGCACGAACCGTGACCCATAGCGAAACAATAAAATGACCCTCGAGGCTGTTTCAATAATCGTAGTATGCATTTCAAGAGCTCGTTTCCCTTTTGGACATAATCGTCCCGGGGAAAAGAGTTCTACTACTTCGGCTCGCTCGCGTATCGCATAACTGCGACTAGGTAGAGTTAGCGTGTATCAAAATTTCGATATCCAACTGGTTTTCCGATATTTGAACGGGGATATACGATACAATTTTGAACAGCAGGAGCACCTGCTAGTGCAGGCCTTCCACATTCTTTCCGGCGGTTTTATTGAAAACACCGAGAAGTTGCAATTTCTGCCGCAGTTCTCGAATTCGATTCTCGTTGAACAAAACCGAAAGCGTAATTCAGTTCGCAGGGAGATACTTGAAACTTGATACATGCTCCGATCTCTAATGCTTCGACTCAGGTCCCATAAACTATTAAATTGCATTGGAGATGAAATGAAATTTATTGGAGATGAAATGAAATTTATTGGAGATAAATAGTTTTTAAAGAAATAATAATTAATAAAATAATTGTTTCAGAAATTGATATTTCATAAAATTTCCTATTTATTATGCAATTAATTAATTAACAGGAATCCGAACGTAGCGAAGCGATATCCTTACCTGACAGACGGTCTTAAGGAATGGGGTAAATACGAGATTGACTGGCCGGAGTACGACTCTCAGAATCAAACCTACTTGAATCTGAGTAAGTATAATTAAAAATAATTCATTGTGTATTAAATAAATGGAACGATGAACGAACGCAGCGATTCCGCCGAGCATCGGGCTTCATTACCGTTACGAGGAGATGCAATTCTGGAACGAGCACTTGCCAAATCAGCTTCGTCACCCTGGCGAGAGTCTCCCATTACCGATTCGACCAAAAGGACAGCGACCAGATATCTTGGACAAAGCAGACGGGATCGGAAAGTATGCGAACGCAAGCAGGAATTACGAGCAGCATAGTTCCAAGTTGGTAGAAGAGACGATTGAATTTAAAATATTTTTCACGCGAGCATAATATCAGTCGAGATGAAATTATCGTCTCGTGCAATTAGCAGGCGCGCGAACGAGAAGACAATCGTTGATCGTTTGAAAATGAAAATAATTCCCTTGCCACCGGTTGTCAGGCTTGTCGTTGTTATGCATGAAAAATTCCGTGAGAATGTTAATTGAAAAATTAAATATACTCATTTTTGTGCGACGTTGAACAAGCCCAGGCCGGGAGCATTGTTTTTCAGCCGGGCCGCGCGTTGAACGTTTAATGAAACGTCACTCGCACTCCATTGCGTCCGGACTCCTTGCCTGTCTCTAACGATTAAGCTGTCCGCATTGCGCCGGCTGAATGGAATTTATTCAAAGTTGCACACAACGAGACGTAAAGGCTCGCTTGTTTAGAGTTTCAATTGCGCACTCGGTCGGCTTAATGGCGGATTAACGTCGCCTGAAAACCGACGCCGGAATACCGGCGCGCCGGCGTTTTCGGCAAACAAACGACGGGTCGCGATTTAATCCCCGCGAAATAAGCAACCGTTTAAATTTCGATGCCTTATCGAATTACTCGCAATCCTCTATATGAATATCACCGTACAAATCTGTGAGAGCCGAAAGTTTGGCAACTAGATCCCGCCGTCGCGTCGGAACAGTTCAAGTTTCTCACTATTATCCGGAATCCTTTGCGCATACGGCTGCCGCGGTAACTCCTGAATTCGTACCAACAGCTGCAGTCATAAAAAGCGAATTAACGCCGGAAGAGGAAAGCATGTAATTATGGCTGTGTTTTAGATTCAAGCCACCGCTGGATGGATCGACGACTCCAGATACAACGACTCAGTCCGACGAAGAAGCGATCGAACCACAGCCCAGCGTCCCAAAGAGCAACTCTGCTATCACTATGCTGATTGGTTTCGGCGTCGTCTTCCTGTTGATCAACTTCACCGCGTTCCTTTACTTGTATTGCAAGAAACAGGACGCGAAGAGCAAAGGGAGCGCGGGGTTGAAGAGGCGCGTCAGCCAAAAGGACGACTCGAAGCGGACGAAATCGGAGAAGTACGAGAACCATTACGGCGAACTGGGCTACAAGAGCGACAGCAAGCCGGACTTGAACGACGTGATAAAGAACGACAAGGCGTACGACAACAATTCGAACTTTGGTAGACGCTCGAAATTGTCCAGGCAGAATTCTGGGTCCACCATTGATACGCATATTAAGGTCAGGGAATGGATACAGCAAGAAATTGTACACAGGTTGGTAGTTCGACTAAGATTGTATGAGTCCTCAAAGCAATGACGATCCACTCAAATTCTAACAGTATCGAGTAATGTAAATAATTGCAAGTCAGGTACAGTTC